CTGAACAAAATGAAGCGAGCTTATACTTAAAACAAGAACAAAAATCTGTCAAAGGTGAATAAACTTGTTTTTGTAATTTACTTTTATCCAAAGTTGCTTTGCATTCAAGCTTTACATTTGATCAGTTTATTAATTTCCTGGGAATTGAACCAGCGACCTAAGTGTTGCTGTTGCAGTGCTCTGCTGTTTGAGCTACAGGAGGAAGATGTGTGTGCGTCAGAGCCGAGAGGAGCTGATCAAGCGAGGAGTGCTGAAGGAGATCTTTGAGAGAGGTTCTGAGCTTCATGCTGTTTCAGTGTCTCATATCAGTTTCTGTTTGGTGAAGCATCGACCCATTATCTCATATCTGTTTTTATGTTTTTTAGTAACGGTTTGTAATGCATCACATCAGGGTGTTTTGTAGGGCACTTGAACAGCGTGGCTAATACATACGTCATATTCACAGACAGTTTGAAATGCATACAGTAATATAAACATTATTTTACATTTAGAAAATAGTCATGTCTACTGATTCCTAACTTTCCACATAGCATTCTTTATGAATTTAATAACAAACTGAGACATATACAAACTTTTGACATAAGCAGTCACTGTGCTATAAAAACATGCTTGTGAGAGTGAGCGAGCGCGAGCGTGTGTGAGAGTGAGCGAGCGCGAGAGCGAGCGTGTGAGCGTGTGTGAGTGAGCGTGTGCGAGTGAGCGTGTGCGAGTGAGCGTGTGCGAGTGAGCGTGTGTGAGAGTGAGCGTGTGAGTGAGCGTGTGAGTGAGCGTGTGCGTGAGCGTGAGAGAGCGAGAGAGAGCGAGAGCGAGCGAGCGTGTGAGAGAGCGTGTGAGTGAGCGTGAGAGTGAGAGTGAGCGTGAGAGTGAGCGTGAGAGTGAGTGTGTGAGTGAGCGTGAGAGTGAGCGCGAGAGCGAGAGTGAGAGCGAGAGAGAGCGTGAGAGAGCGAGCGTGAGAGAGCGAGCGTGTGTGAGTGAGCGTGTGTGAGTGAGAGTGAGCGTGTGCGTGAGGGAGAGTGAGAGGGAGCGTGTGTGAGAGTGA